GCACTCAGGAATTACTCCTGGCGGTGCTTGGGGGACCATACTGGATGCCGGGGATCGAACCCAGGTTGGCCACGTGCAAGGCAAACACCCTACCCGCTGTGCTATTGCTCTGGCCCCATGCCTTCTACTTTAAACCCCATCAAATGTGGTGTGCTGCTCTTGAAATATTAGTGGTGAAAAGTATGAGATGTCACAGGACTCCAGAAATAGAGTCTCTCTTGGGTGAGGTTCGACTTGAACATGTGGAGAGCGACCATGAGCATGGAGACATTTGAGTTCTGGAGATTTTCAGCTACCTAAGCTGGCTCTACTGGAGCAGGGAGGGGAACTCACCCATCCCCCTCCGGGTTAACCCCAATGAGACAGCCTGATGCGGGGGTCCCGTGGCATGGCGATGTGGTATTGTTCTGTGCTCTCTTTCGAGAGATTTATATTGAGTCTCTGGATCATGGCCGTTAATGAGATTATATGGCGCCAGTGGCAGCTTGTGGGTGTGACTGCCAGGCTACTGGAAAAAATCCTATGTAGTTTTTACCTTAGCCTTATCAGAATGGTATTGGGTCCAGAGAGAGAGAGAGTACAGGGGTTCACTAAGCGTTAACTTACATGTGGCTGACCTGGGTTCAATTCCTGGCATCCCATATGGTCCCCTAAGCACTACCAGGATAATTCCTGAGTGCAGAGCCAGGAGTAAGCCCTGAGCATTGCCTGGTGTGGCCCAAACACCCCTCCCTGTCCTTCCCAACCCCTACAAATATTATTATTCAAGACTCTCCAGACTAAGACCTCCAGGTTGAGAGAGGAAAAGATTTGCTTAAGGTCTAGCTCTACATGGCAAAGCCAGGATTCCACCCTGGTCTTTCTGAGTCAACCTGTACTTCCTTTCTGCTACGACTTGACTTGTGGAGTCATATTATTTGCATTGCAATTATAGAAGGTGAGGCTAAAATTTCAGGATTGGAGGCTGCTTAGCTCCTTATATAGCAGCCTCCAGGGGAAAATAGCATTCTAGAACAACATTGATGAAATAGGAAAAAAAAATTGTGTTTTGGCTGCACCTGGCTATGCTCAAGGATCACTTCTGATGGGCTTAAGGAAGCGTATTGGGTGCCAGGTATGGAATCCAGGTTGGGTATGTGCAAGGCAAGTGCCTTGCCCAATGTACTGTCTCTCCTGCCCCTCAAATAGGAATGTGTGGGGCCAGAGTGATAGTACAGTGGGTAGGCAGCTTGCTTTGCAAGTGGCCAATCAGGGCCAATAACCAGAACTGTGTGTAGCCTTGTCGGGTCCCCTGCCAGGAATTATTCCTGAACACAGAGGCAGGAGTAAGAGTGAGCAATGCCAGGCCTAGCCCACTTCCTGCCAAAAAAATCCCAGTTCCTTGGGACTGGAGTGATAGCACAGTGGGTAGGGCATTTGCCTTGCACATGGCCAACCTGGGTTCGATTTCCAGGATCCCATATAGTTCCCTGAGCACCGCCAGGGATAATTCCTGAGTGCATGAGCCAGGAGTAACCCCTGTCCCCTGTGCAACGCTGGGTGTAACCCAAAAAGAAAGGAAAAAAAAAATTCCAGTTCCTAAGATGGAACACAGACATCCAGCAACTACTCCAGAATACTGATGATATTTTCTGCCTGTTTTTTCCATTTCTAATTTTCCTGTAGTTCCAGGGATCAAACCCAGGGCACCTTCTATGCAAGACAAGTGTTTTACTAATGAACTACATCCCCCAACTCCCTCTCTTTGGGTGTATTGGGAGGGGATACACCCAAAGGAGCTTGTGATTTACTCCTGCCTCTGTGCTCAGAGATCCATTCTGACAAAGTACAGGGAAACCGTGTGGTACCAGGGATCGCACCCTGGTCAATGGCATGCAAGGCAAGTGCCCTACCCTCTATACTATCTCTCTGCCCTATGTCCAACTTTTAATCAACACAAACCTTGAATCATATGCAACACTGAATATGCAATATATGCAACACTGAATGCAGATTACTGAACTTCAATATACAGTACAGTGTAACATTAATGTAGGTTTGGTCAAATTCAAGCTGTTGTGTAAAGAAATAAAATACAGTTAGAAATCACATGCACATGGATGTTCAGAAATAATATTTTACCAAAATTTTGAATTAAGTCTCTAGAGAAAAATATTTATGAAGAACGTATTATAATTAAAGTAAAATACTTATGAATTAAATATGTAGCAAAAATATCCATGTTCCTAAAAGCAGAACTCATGATGCACTTCTCAAAGCCTTTATCTTGAAGGATCTGCATCTTTGGATGCAGCAAAGTAAAATATGGCCTTTTTTGAAAAACAATCAGGAATTCAAGTCTATAGCAGCAGCTTCCCCCAAGGAAATTTTCTATTGATTTGTAACTTGGCCTTGAGTTTGACCTGTGACCTTCACGTCATGATAATTTGGGTCAGTCTGAATATGCCATCCCATGAACAAGGGCCTCTGCTAATTTTAAGTGAATGCAGCTGCCTCTTTGCCTTTCTATTTGCATCACAATATGTGGGAATAAATTCACAATTAATAAACATTTCCAGTGAACAGTCAGACTGAGGAAATGAAGGACACTCAGCTAGTAAGCTTAAAAGGACATGTTTTGTTTTTGCTAATTTGCACATTAAACAAAGAAAGGAAAGAGTTTATTCTAATTTGTGTGTGTGTGTGTGTGTGTGTGTGTATGTTACCAGAATTGTGTTCCCTGAGCATCTAAAAGAGTCGTTTAACTTCAAATATTTAGTTTTTGGGTATTTTTGTTTGTTTGTTTACTTTGGGGCCACACCCTGAGATTCTCAGGGGTTACTTGTGGCTCTGCATTCAGGAATTTCTTCTGGTGGTAGTCAGGGGGCCACATGGGACACTCGGGATCTAATCCAGGCTGGTCCTGCGCAGGACAAAAGCCCTCCCTAAGTTTAAGTGAGTTTAATTTTAAAGAAGAAAAAAAAAAAGTAAAAGGAATAAGTGTAGAATAATTTGTAAAAGGCAAAAAGAATTTTCCTTTCTTTGGTTTAATGAAATGATTACTTTGCAAGTTTGATACTATGGGGGCAGCTTGCACTTATCATCAAAAACATTGGTAGTGAAGCACCTTTGGGTCGTTACTAGCTTGCTTGCATCTACTACTCCATTAATTACTAATGGATTGCCTGGTTCTCAGAGAAGAGTCCTGAAGAGTAGACTAGGAAACTGAGGAGTCTGGAAGCCTTATCGTAAGATAAATAAATAAAGGAACTTGAAAGAGGGGCAACTGGGAAAGGTGGAGGAGTTAAAAAAAAATCCCAATAGATTTTGTTTGTTACTGGGGAAGCGACCCAGGTCCTCATACATATGATGCTGTGTATTATGGCTGAGCCATAACCTTCACAAAATATTTTTGTTTTGGGGGGCTCACCCAAGGGTGCTGGGGATGATTCTGCTTTGTTCTGTGATTGCTGACAAAGGGCATTTCTGGGGGACAGAACGCCAGGTTTTCGCATGCAAATCTTGCTTGCTCCCTAGCCGTTATCTTTCCTGCCTAGTACATGGTTTTTAAGCTTGTGTTTTCACCACGGACTGCTTTCCTCCTTTTGCTTTCTGTTTTGTTTTTGGGCCACACCCAGCGATGCTCAGGGGTTATTCCTCACTCAGCACTCCTGGCGGTGCTGGAGGGTCTATATGGCATGCTGGGGATGGAACCCGGGTCTACCGGGTCTACCACGTGCGAGGCAGTCGCCCTACCCGTTGTACTTTCGCTCCGGCCTCTCCCTCTGCTTTCTCTCTGTTGAAAGTCTCCTAATTCTTAGTTCATTTTACCACTCTGGTTGCCCATAGCTCCCGAACTGAAAACATGTAAGCTAGAAAGTGAAGAGAGAAATACATATGTGCATTACAAAAATTTGAAGAAAACCCCCCACTAGGAACTGTTATTTGGAAGATCAGTTAGAGAGGGCTTTGAAGGTTTCAATGAAATCGAGGGATTCAGCGTCAGTTTTTATTGTTCTGAGGACAAGACCGGTGTGAAGTATCAAAGTCTGGCGAAGAACAGGGTCGTGAAATTAATTTTTCTCTCTTTGGAGTTGATTGCAACGTTCCAAGTTACCAACGGAAGTCAGATACCTCCCCCGCACGTGGTCGCCAGGCGCCTTCCCGGTCCCACCTCCGTCTCTTTCGCTTCGGTAATTTGGGGGTAATTGCTCCACCGAAACCGTGCTTTGAAGGCGCAGCGAGGGCTGGCTACCTCGCCACGTCGAAGGGCTGGCTCCCTCACTTCTCCTTTTAATTGTTTTGACTTCACGGTCTCCTGGAAAAAAAAAAACGTTTTCTCCAGCAATTCACCAACTGTTTGCTTTCTCCTCCTTTTATTTGTTTAAAATTTGAAATGTATCTTCACCGTGGAGGCTTAAAAGCGAGCTTAATTGGTAAAGGGCGGCTCCGGGTGGAGCCTTAAAGAGATTCTGAAGAGTATTTTCGAGCGCTTTAGGCTTGAAAGGCGCGTGACAATAGTTTCTAAAGAGCACGGGAGGTTTCTTTTAACAGCTCTATTCTCTTGCAGGCACGCCGGGGCTGGGTGGGGGGGGGGACTTTTCTGTTGTTTGTTTGTAAAAGAAATCAAGACAGGCAGAGGGTCTCGCCTCTCCCCTGACCCGAGGGGCAAGAGCGAGGGGGTCAGGCGGATTCCCCGCGGCTCCCCCCAGCGCGCCCGGGAAGCTGAGTCAGGACCCAGCACAGCCCCCGACGCCAAGGGGCGGGCGGCGCCGGCGGCCACGCGCGCCGACGGCCGAGTGGGCGTGTCCCGCGGGCGGCCAACGGGGCGGGCCGGTTGGGCGGGGCCGACGGCCGAGTGGGCGTGTCCGGCGGGCGGGCGCCCGCGGAGGGGGCGTGCCAGGAGGCGGTGCTAGCGGCCCAGTGGGCGTGTCCCGCGGGCGCGCGCGGGCGGGCGGCGGAGGGGGCGTGTCCGGCGGGCGGCGGCGGCGGCGGCGGCGGCGGCGCGGCGCGGCGCGGCGGCGGCGGCGCGGGCCGGGCCGGGTGCGCGGCGCAACCTCCTGTGCTGGAATGTGTGGCTGCCGTGAGCTCGCAGCCCAGCAGCAGAGCCAGCGCCGCCGAGGCCCCGGGACCCAGACCCCGGCGTCGGCGGCGGCCGGGACGGCCCCGCGAGGACCGGCGGCCTGAGCCCTCTCCCCGGCACCGCTCCTGGGCCTGTCCGGGCCTCTCCGGCCCCTGCGCCTAACTTTTCCCCCCTCCCCCCTTCCCCTCCCCCGAAACTCCAGCAACAAAGAAAAGTAGTCGGAGAAGGAGCGGCGCCTCGGGGCCGTCCGTGCGTGCTCGCGGAGGCCGGCCGGTAAGCGCGGTGCGGGGGTGCGGGGGGTGCGATCGGGGTGGGGGAGGGCCGTCCGGGCGGCGGCGGCGGCGGCCACGGGAGGAGGAGGAGGAGGGGGGGGGGAGGAGGAGGAGGAAGAGGGGGAGGGCGCGGAAGGACGCGGTGCGAGGCGCTGTCCAGGGCTGATTTGCAGATACCGAGGCTGCGGCGGCCGCGCCGGGCGGGATCGGGTTACAGCGCCGCGGCTCGGGGGCTGGGCCGGGGGCGTCGGGTGGGGAGCGGTGCGGCGCCACGGGACCCCCCTCTGGGCCGCCGCTGCCCGGGCTGGGCCGCCGCCTCCGCGCTGGCGGCGGCGGGGCCGCGCCTCGGGAGGGGAATCGGGGTGCGGAAGCGGCGGCGCGGCCGCCGCTGCTCGGGGCGCGGGTCCTGAAACTTGCTCGCGGTCGGCCCGCGGCTCCCCCGCCGCCCCCCGTCGGTCCGTCCGTCCGGCCCTCGCGGCGCCCCTTCCCCGCCCTCCCGGGCCTCTCCCTGTCGCCGGAAGGCGCCGTGGAGAGTTGCGCCCGGGCGGGTTGAGTCAGCCCCGGGGGCCCGGGCGGGTCCGCCCATGGGGCTGGACAGCGATTTCTGCGCTCGGGCCGCCTCGCCGCCGCCGCGGCCTTGGGCGCCCGGCCACCCCGCCGCCCGCACCCGGAGTCGGGAGTGAGCTCGCAAACTTCCGGGGCGCGCGCGCGCGCGGGCCGAGCGGGGGGACCCCCCGGCCGGCGCTCCGGCCCCCGAGGCCTCGGGAGGGCGCCCGAGGAGCCCCGTCCCGGGCGGGCCGTGCGCGGAGGGCGAGCCCGGGGCCGCCGGGACAAGCCGGGCCGGCAGGCGACGACGCGCGGTAACTTTTATTCCTTCTTTCCCGCACGGGGGCTGGGGGCGGGGGCGGGGGGCGCTGCTGGTGTCCGGCACGGGGTGGGGGTGGGGCGGCCCTAGCGACTTGGGGAAGACTCGGTTCGGCCCAACGGCACCCCAGATATGTCCATCTCTTTTTTTTCTTTTTCCCCCTCCCTCTTTTTTTTTTTTTTTTAAATCATCCTCTCTCCTCTCTCAAGCGCTGGGAAGCCCGGGGACAAGCTCGCGGGGCCGGGACCCGGGGCCAGGGGCCGACGACGACTCCCCAGCGGAGTCGGTGCTTGCAGCGTGGGGGCCGCGAGCCGGCCGAGCCGAGAGGAAGCGAGAGCGCCCGAGTTTGCAAAGAGCCGCTTTGTGTCGGGTATTTGGAGAAAATGGCCGAATGCCTATTTCAGGCAGGAATGCCGCCGCCGGGCCCGGCGCGGGTGGCAGCAGCACGGAGGAATTCGTGCAACACGTTGGGCTCCCGGGGCCCGTGCGCGACGCTCCGGCGAGACCCGCGCGCAAATTTCCTTCCTCCGGGGCCCGCCGGCAGGTAGGGGCCAGGGCGGGGGCTCCCGGGACCCGAGCCCTGGTGCAGCTTTGCTTGCCCTCCGTTTGGGTCGCTGTGATGGCATCCGAGCGCCTTTTTCCTTGTTGCTGCCGTTGCTGCTACGTGCTGCTCTCCCGGTTTGCTTGTGCACCTGGGCGAAACGGATTCTTTTTTTTTTTGTGCTTTTTTTTTTGTTTCTTGAAAGTTTTAGTGCCCGCTGCTTTTTTTGGGGGGGGGACTAATCCTGATGTGCAGGAGGAGAACACCTCGTTTGAGAGCAGCAAGCGAGTAACGTGGGGCCGACTTTTTTTTTTCTTTCAAAAAGCCCAACGTGTTTTCAAGAAGAAGGTGATCTTGTAATGGCTTCCACTAGGCAGGCAGGCAGGCAGGCCGCCGCCAGCACCACGCCAGAAAAGTTGCTGAGGACAAGTTGAGTTGCAACGATTGTTTGCAGCGGGTGGGTGGGCTCAGAGTCTTTCTCAGTCTTTTTTTTTTTTTTTTGCGACAAGTTTGGAGTGCACCAAAATTATTCACATGCACAAAAAAGAGGAGGGGAGTTGTGTAGTTATTTTTTTTTAACTTTTTTTTTTTCATTGAAAAAAGTAGATACAAAGTGGAGCATTTTTTTTCCCCCACAGTAGCTTATTCATCCGGAGTCGGTTGAGTTCATATGAAATTCAATTTGCTCGGCCAATTATTACAGGATTCTCTTTTGCAGACGTGATTGTGCCTATTAATAAAGGCCAGCTATGGCTTTTAGATTTCTCCCCTTTCTCGTGCAGACCAGTAAACTGTTGAAAGGTGGATTTAAGGGATAGGAGTGTTCTGTTCCTATATTTAATTTAAAAAGTCATTTTAATTGGCCTTCAGAGTAGTTTTGAAGAAGGCCAGAACAATTAAAAGTGCTTGAGGAAAGGCATGCCAGTGGTAGATCGGAGTTGATGATGGAATTTTGTCAAAACAGCTGACCGAATTTGGGGGAAGGCTAAGAGAGACGTTTTGTGACTGTACTGCAGAGGAAAATTACAATTACAGAACTCTTCTGAAGGGTTCTTTTTAGTCATTAGTGAAGCTTATTGAATGTAAAGCTTATGCTAGAAGGTTTATTTATTTTGCTTTTTTAAGTTGCAAGACGTTGTGGGTGCTGCTTTGGTTTTAGGCCAGAGATGTGTTTAAACTTGTTTGTCTTTGATTCAGAACACAGTAGTTATGGCCACCCAGGTAATGGGGCAGGCGTCTGGAGGAGGAGGGCTGTTCCCTGGCAGCGGCAACATCGGCATGGCCCTGTCTAACGACATGTATGACTTGCACGACCTCTCTAAAGCGGAACTAGCCGCCCCGCAGCTCATCATGCTGGCAAACGTGGCCCTCACTGGGGAAGTCAATGGCAGCTGCTGTGATTACCTGGTTGGCGAAGAAAGGCAGATGGCCGAGTTGATGCCTGTCGGGGATAACAACTTCTCCGACAGTGATGGGGAGGGACTGGAGGAGTCTCCTGAAATAAAAGGTGAGCCCAGTGGACTGGGCAACGTGGAGCTTCAAAGTTTGGAACTCAGTGTGGTAGAACCGCAGCCTGTGTTTGAGGTGTCCGCCGCCCCAGAAGTTTACAGCGCAAGTAAAGAAGTCCCCCCGGAAGCACCTGGAGCAGAGGACAAGTGCAAGAACCTGAAGACCAAACCCTTCCGATGTAAGCCGTGCCAGTATGAAGCCGAATCCGAGGAGCAGTTTGTGCATCACATCCGAGTTCATAGTGCCAAGAAGTTTTTTGTGGAGGAGAGCGCAGAGAAGCAGGCAAAAGCAAGGGAGTCTGGCGCATCCACAGGGGAAGAGGGGGATTTCTCCAAGGGTCCCATTCGCTGTGATCGCTGTGGCTACAATACCAATCGATACGATCACTACACTGCTCACTTAAAACACCACACGAGAGCCGGGGATAATGAGCGAGTGTACAAGTGCATCATCTGCACCTACACCACAGTAAGCGAGTATCACTGGAGGAAGCACTTGAGAAACCATTTTCCAAGGAAAGTGTACACATGTGGAAAATGCAACTACTTTTCAGACAGAAAGAACAATTATGTTCAACATGTTCGAACGCACACAGGTAAGAGGGTACATCTGTGCTGTCCTTGAGATGGTTCTGTGGGTAGTCCAGTTCCAAGAACTGGGTTTTCTGGGACCCTGGGTTCAAATCCTGGTTCTACCTTTTTTTTTTCTTTTTCTTTTTCTTGGGGTTGGGGGGGGGTAAGGGAAGGGTTGGGCCACCCTGGGCATTGTTCCTGCCTCTGCACTCAGAAATACTCCTGTTGATGCTTGGGGGACCATAAGGGATGATGTGGGGGATTGAACCCACGGTCAGCCTCATTCAAGGCAAGCATCCTACTTGCTGTACTCTCTCTCTCCAGCCACATAATTCTTGTCTTTAGACATTATTGAAGGTCTGTTTTTGGCCTCATTTCTCTATGGGGGTAGGTGGGTATTAATATACAGGATTTGAGGATTAAGTGAAGAAACATGTCTGTAAGTAACACTTACTTGAAAGAGCAGCCAAGGCAGATCATAATAAAATAGCCTAAGAACTTGTGTAGTTCATGTAGCTAAACTAGACTTTTTTTTAAAAAAAAGCTATAGATTTAGTTGATAGTATCTGTATAGTTTCCTAATGGAATTGAGAGCTTAGACAAAAAGGAAAACCCAATGATTAACCCTTTCAGAATTTCATTTAGTAGGATGTTAACGTTTACTTAAAGCTCCTTTTACTTTTTTTGTGTGTCATTGTTCCTGAATGGAACAATTAGTCTCCAGAGTAAGAATGTGAGAATTTAATTATTTAAAGTTTGGTGTGATTACCACACTTGAAATATTTTCCAGAGAAAGCATTAATGTACTGTCAAAAAAAAGTTTTACATTTATTTATTTACTTAGAGCTTTTTGGGTCACACCCAGCCATGCACAGGGGTTACTCCTGGCTCTGCACTCAGGAATTACTACTGACAGTGCTCAGGGGACTAGATGGGATGCTGGGAATTGAACCCTGGTCGGCCGCGTGCAAGGCAAATGCACTACCCGCTGTGCTATCGCTCCAGTCCCCCAAATAAAGTGTTTAAAAATGTGACAAATTTAAACATTTCAGAATGGGAGAATCCTGCACTGTACACATGAACTTAATCCTTATACTCAGAATTACCAATATTTTATCACATTTAGCAATTCATTTTCTTTTTTTTTAAAAAAGTACAGCCTTATTGAAATTGGCCACCTCTACCACACAATTCATTCATTTAAAGTCACAATTCAGGGCTTTTAGTATATTCAGTTAAATGAGCGTCATCACAGTCAATTTTAATGAATTAATCCTTATTTAAAAAAAAATTCCTTGGTTTTGTTTCTTGGGCCATATCTGGTGGTGCGCAGTGCTTACTCCTGCGTATGCTCAGGGATCATTCCTGGTGGTGCTTAATTTAAACCTTCAATATGTGGTTCGGAGGTCAGATTTGCATTGGCCATGTACAAGGCAAGTGTACTCTCTCCAGCCCCTGACTCAGAGAAATCCTTCACTCATTTCTCCCCCAACACGCCTTAATTACTCACTTTAATTTTTTTCCAATTTTATTATAGCACCATGAGTTCCAAAGTTACTCATAGTTGGGGTTTTTTTGGGGGGGCGAGGGTCACACTCAGCAATGCTCAGGGGTTACTCCTGGCTCTGCACTCAGGAATTACTCCTGGCGGTGCTTGGGGGACCATATGGGATGCTGGGAATCAACCTGGGTTGGATTTGTGCAAGGAAAATGCCCTACCTGCTGTGCCATTGCTCCAGCCCCCATAGTTGGGTTTTTAACATAATTTTTCATCAACAATGGTGTCAGCTTCCCTCCACAAGTATTCCAAGGTTCCTTCTCATACCTCTCCCATCATTCACTTTGAAGTTCTCTATTAAATATCTTAAAGGGGGGGGTTCAATTTTGTCAAAACATTGTAACTATTGGTAGTTTGCTTTTTTTTGGTAATCCCCCTTTTTTGGGGGGGGGTAAGAATTGGGATCTTTAAAAACTGGAAAGTCGGTTCAGTGGTTGGACACTTTCTTTGTATGTGTGAGGCTCTGAGTTCAGTTCACAGTTCACAGTGTTGTGCAGTCCCGCTGGTGTCCCCCTGCCCCCCAAATTTGGCACCTTTGATGGCTCAAAAAGTGAAATGATCAAGGGACCAAAAAGAGCTCACAGGATCCCTCTGGTACTGTACGTTTGGAGTATCCCTAAGTACTGTGGTGTGTGGACAGCCCCTCCACATTGCCAGGCCCTCAGCGCCCCCCCCCCCCCCAAGATAAACTAGGTCTGTGTACTCTTTGAGTCTTAATGAAAGAAACTGGGTGCTATTTGCATTGGGTCACTTTACAGGAATTTGAACCCCAGGACTGAACCCCACAAGTGGGACACAATCAGTAGACTCTTTCTGTGTGTTTTTGGGCCACACCTGGCAGTGCTCAGCAGTAACTTCAGCCTCAGTGCTCAGGGATCACTCCTGGTGGTGTTTGGTGGAGGAGGAACCATACGGGGTGCTGGAGAGAGCCTGGGTTTGCCACTTGCAGGGTGGCTCCTTAACCCGCCATACTATGGCTCTAGCTCCGATACAGACTTCAAGAAAGACATCTATAGCAAGATTTCTAAGCCTTCCCTAGAAGATGGCTTTTTTTTCTTTTTGGGTCACACCCAGCAATGCACAGGGGTTTACTCCTGGCTCTGCACTCAGGAATTACTCCTGGCGGTGCTTGGGAGACTGTAGGGGATGCCGGCAATCGAACCCAGGTTGGCCGCATGCAAGGCAAACGCACTGCTCCGGACGTGCAGATGGCATTTGAAAGCTTTGAAATCTAAAGATTTTGTTGGGGTTGCAGAGAAGTTCCAGCGTTTGAGGTGCTTGCTTTGCTTGTGGCCAAGGCTGATTGAATCTTATGGTCCCCCAGCCATTTCTGTGTGTAGCCCTGGAGAACCCTGAGATTCCAGGTGGACTGGTTATACCCTTGCCCAGCAGGCCCTGCGCAGCGCCATGTTGGGGGGGGGGGGCGTCCCTGCCATCTGCTTGGCATAGAGTAGCCAGGAGCACCCGCTGGACCTTTCCAGCACTGCTTGGGAGGCATGAAAACATAAATAGAACGAAATATTTTTTTTAAAAGAGATTTTGTAGACTTTTTTGAAATTAATAATAACTAGTAGTTGATTGTCTTTATGGTTTGGATTTGAAACCATCTTATTTTGAACATAAAGTTTAAACATTGCAGAAATACAGAGCCTAGGGAATGAAGTTATTTGGGAATCATACCCCATTAACCACTAAGTAGTTGAGACGCTATTGGACTGAAGCATCCTAACCCCAGATAGCGTATGTAACTTCATCAATATGTACTTTACGTTCATGTTGTGTGTGTTTTTTTGTGTTCTGAATTTGGATCACTTTTGTTCCTGGCTTTGGGGGGGATCATGTCAGAGGATAGAACTCAGGCCTCTCTAGCATATAAAGCATAGGTTCAGCCAGTTGAATTACCTCTCTGGCATTCATTTAAGCTTATTTTTGGGCCCACCCCCAGCAGTGCTCAGGACTTAACTTTGGTTCTGCACTCAGGGATTCTGCCAGGTGGTTGGGGCATAAGGGACCATACGGGGTGTTGGCAGTCAAGCCCAGCTAGGGATAGAACCTGGGTCTACCGAGTGCCAGACACGTGCCCTTCCTGCTGTGGTATGTCAGGCCCCTAATTTAAGTATTTCTTTTATGTTAAAGATGGGACTTTACATAGTAGTAGTAATATGGAGTGTTCATGTAGTAGCTGCTGTCAGAGTAAAGTACATGATGTTTATGTGTGTATCTTCATGATTTTTGTTAGGGGGGTGGGGCTGCTCAGCTGACGCCTCTATAAGTGGTGCCAAGGTAGGTGACCATGTGGTGCCACAGATTGAACTCCTGGCTGCACACATGCAAGGCAGACGGTCTGCTATTTAGTCATCGCTGATCTACCTTGATGAAATTTTTTACTTATATACTGTAGCACTGTATATATCCCATTGTTCATTGATTTGCTCGAGCGGGCCCAGTAACCTCTCCATTGTGAGATTTGTTGTTACTGTGTTTGGCATGTCGTACGCCACGGGGAGCTTGCCAGGCTTTGCCATGCAGGCGAAATACTCTTGGTAGCTTGTGGGGCTCTCCGAGAGGGGCTGAGGAATTCAACCCGGCTCGGCCGGGCCTGCGGCTTGCAAGGCAAACACCCTACCGCTGTGCTATTGCTTCATCCCACTTACATACGTGTGTGTAATATTTGTATAACTGGTCACTGCCAGTCAAGTTGAGCATACTACTACTAGATGTTTAATCCCTTTATCTTAAAAAATTGGGCTGAAGCCATAGTACAGCAGGTAGGGCATTTTGTCTTGCATCCCACCAACCCAGGTTTGATCCCCGGGTTCCCATATGGCCCCCCAAGCACTACCAGGAGTGGTTTCTTGAGCCAGAGTTAGGATTAACCCCCGACCATCGCCAGGTGTGACCCCAGCGCTTGCCTTGTGTCTGGCTGACCCAGGTTTGATCTTCGACATCCCATATGGTTTCTTGAACACTGCCAGGAGTAATCCCTGAGCACCTATGGGTGTGGCCCCAAAACAAATTGGGCTTGTTAATTATTACTATCTTTCTGCTTTTTGGGTCACACCCAGCAGTGCTCTGGGATTACTCCTGTCTCTTCACTCAGGAATTACTCCTGGAGATGCTTGGGGGATCGTACAGGATATGAAAGATTGAACCCTATGGGACATGAGGACTTGAATCCAGGTCAGCCTGTTGCAGAGCAAAGACCCTACCCACTGTACTAGTGCTTTGGCCTCATAGCATTACTTTGGATTTTTTAGCCACTCCCTACTTGGTGTTCAGGGGTACGAAGCAGAAGATGCCCAGGATTGTACCTTTTATCAAGGCATGTGTTCTTTTGCTCCCCCATGGGGGACATGCCTGGTGATAATTGACCCACTGTCGGGACTGATGGTTCGGGTGCTTCACTTTCAGTGATCATGCCATATAGGGCCTTCTTCTAAGACATTGCTCTGTCCCCAGCCACATGCTTGGGCCTGCTGCTTTGAGACGTTAATTTATAGCATCATGCAGTAACGTTTTCTCCATGTCAAGTTCTTGTTTTTGCATTTCAGGTCATGGCATGATCAGGCTGGTCCTGAACTCAGAGGTCACCCTTTGCTATGTTGTGGGGACCATATGAGGTGCCAGGGATTGAACCTTGGTTGGCCTGCCAGCGAGGCAAGCAGCTTACCCCTGTATACTTTTATCTCCCCCATCCTACACTAATTTAATAATTTTGATATGACCACAATAAGGTTCACATAGCTGTATTGGGTGTACTTACCTCATTTTACATTTGAGTGCTACTTATTTTGCTTAATGTCCATTTATTTATTGTTTTGCTTTTTGGGTCACACCCGGTGATACACAGGGGGTACTCCTGGCTCTGCACTCAGGAATTACTATTGGTAGTGCTCAGGGGACCATATTCATATGGGATGCTGGGAATCAAATCCAGGTTGGCCGTCTGCAAGACAAACAAACGCCCTACCCCACTGTGCTATTGCTCCAGCCCCGTTTGCTTAATGTTTAAAATTGATTTTGTAGATGTGGGATTATAGCACAGTGGGCTAGCTAGTCTAATCTTTGGTTGCAGGAGGCTCAGGTTCAATCCCAGGCATACGCGTGTTGTGTGAAAAATACATATGTTAACTGAAGCGTAGAGATGATAAAGGAGAGTCAAGAGTTATTTTATTTGTGTAGTCTAATTTACCGAAATACTTAGTGGGTTTCTTTTTTGTGTGCCTTGTATTATGTGTTTTTTTCCTTTCCTTCTGTGATAATCTTCAGAACAATCCGTTGAGGGAAACATGGTAAGTGTAACCCATTTTTACTGTTAAAGGTTACATAAAACTAGAGGTTCAGAATTTTTTGCTTTCTCTTTTTTGAGCTGCACTTGGCAGTGCTCAGGGCTTACTCCTGGTTCTAAACTCAGAGATAACTCCTGGTGATTCCCAGGGGTGCTGGGTGGCGTGGGGGCAAGATGGGACTATATGGGGTGTCTGGGATTGAATCCAGGATGGTCATGTGCAAGGAAAACTCTCTGCCCCCCAAAATAGTATTCTTTTTTTTTCCCCCAAAATAGTCTTCTTGTATGGAAATATGACTTTTTATTTATCATTCTTCATTTAACTGACATTTGGAATATCCGCTTCAGGACTATTATGAATAGATACTATGAATTTCTTAAATGCAGTTCTTTGTGCAGACTAAATTTTATTTTCTGTCTGGTATATTCCTTGGAGTGGAATGGTTAGACTGAATGGTAACTATGTTTAACCATTATAAGACATGCTCAACTCTTTTCCCAAGGTGCCTGTACTATTTACAAGTCCAGCAACAGCATAGAAGAGTTCCAGTTTCTCCACATCATAACAAATGCTTGTTAACTAACATTTGTTGTTTCTGATTTTAGCCATCTTAGTGGGTGTCAAGTCTTTATCTCATCCTGGGTTTGACTTACATTATCCTTATTGTTAATGATAGGTTGTTTTTTTCTGTTTGTTTTTTGGGTCATACTGGTAGCGCTAGGGCTTATTCCTGGCTTTGTGCCCAGAGGTCATTCCTGGAGGGCTCTGGGGGACTAAATGGGGTACTGGGGATCAAACCCAGGGCAGCTGTAAGACAAGCACCCTACCTGCTATACTCCCGCCCTGGTCCTCTGATAGGTTGCATTTCTGTTGGCCACTTATGTGTCTTAGAATTTTAAAAATAAGTTATCTTCCTTATGGAACACATTTAATTGTATTTACCTGTATCCCCGGTTAGGGATCAGAGAGCTAGTTTAATGGGGTAGTAGTCTTAATTTGCACGTAGAGGCCCAGGGTTGATCTTGTACTGCACTGTAACATTTGAATAACATTGGGTGTGGTCCAACACCCCCATTTCCCCCAAATTCAAAGTATTACCATGAGTTATTTACAGCTGATCTAAAATCTAATAGCTACCAACTATAGATTAGTGTATTTCCCATTCATCACTTTTTTTGTGGGGGACCCACATCCTCCACATGCAAGGCATACAGCTTCAGCATGAGCCCCCTCCCTTCGCAGGATTTCTTTTTTCCTGCTTTGTTAGATACATGTATTTCTATCTCCTGTTAGATATAAATACATGTAACAGGAGATAGAAATACATGTAATACGTGTATAACTAGATAACTAATTTAGGGCTGGAGCAACAAAACAGTGGGGAGGGCACTTGCCTTGCATGGGGCCAACCTGGGTTTGATCCCTGGCATCCAGTATTGTCCCCCGAACATGGCCTAGAGTGATTCCTGAGTTCAGGAGTAACCCCTGATCATCACTGGGTGTGGCCCCAAAAAGATTTATTGAGGGCTTTGCTTTGTTGCAAGCACAGTTTTAAATGCTTCGCTGCAAGTATTATCTTAAGTTCTCTAAATTCTAGAGAAAGGTCACTTTGATAGATGAGGAAACTGATCTCCCAAATTACTTGCCCATGGTCGTTATTCATATGCTATGGCTACGATTAGATAATAACAAATTTAAATTGTCAATGCTCAGAACCGAGCTGTAGTACAGCGGATGGGGCTTTGCTTTGTATGCAGCCGACCTGAGTTTGATCCCTGGTCCCGGTCCTCCAGCACTGCTAGGAGTAATTCCTGATTGCAGAGCAAGAGCATTTCCGGGTGTGATCGCCCGCCCCACTCCCCCCACGCCAAAAATTTTTTTCAATGCTTTAAGTCCATATGGCTTTGTGAGTATAATTAGTTTTTAACACTCACCTGGTTTTTTTTTTTTTTTTTTTGCTTTTTGGGTCACACCTGGCGATGCACAGGGGTCACTCCTGGTTCTACACTCAGGAATCACCCCTGGCAGTGCTCAGGGAACCATATGGGATGCTGGGAATTGAACCTGGGTTGGCCACGTGCAAGGCAAACGCCCTACCCGCTGTGCTATTGCTCCTGCCCCAACACTCACCTGTTTTTATAAAACTGTTTCATTATACTATTTGAACCATAGGCTGACCCAAGTGTTTGCTCCTGGAGCTGGAGAGATAGTATAGAGGTCGAGGCATTTTCCCTGCATGGGACTGCTTCTGTGACATGCTGGGACCAGATATAGTTCCCCCCACCCCCAAACACTGCCATGCGTGACCCTTGAACCAGTTGTTAGTAAGCGCAGTTTTGTTTTTTGGGTCATACCCAGCAATACTCAGGGCTTACTCCTGCCTCTGCACTCAGGGATTACTTCGAGTGGACCATATGGGATGCTGGGGATTGAACCTGGTTCAGCCTGGTGCAAGGGCAAGCGCCCTTCCTGCCCCCAGCCTAAGATTTGTATTGTTCAGTTTTATTTATTTTAGGTTTTTGGGTCATACCTGGTGACGTTGAGGGGTTACTCCTGGCTCCATACTCAGGAATTGCTCCTGGTGATGCTTGGGACCATATATGGGCTGGCCCCCCAGCCTGATACTAAATTTTATTTTTATAAAGTTCTTCAAGATCATCCCAAGGCAAAAGCCCTATCTGCTGTGCTATCGCTCCAGCCCCTAGTTCTTAACTTTTTATATTTTGTTGTTCTGTTAACAAAGTATAGTTAGGTGAGTTTTAAATTTAATCATTTACATTATCTATGCTATACATTAACATAGAAATAGAAAACCAAAGTGAAGTTCCGTGTTTCTTTTGTCTCGCCTGACTTGTGTCTCACCTGGTTTTGCTCAGAGGCTGCTCTCAGCTTGGTTTGTTGCTCCAGTATAGAGGAACCCAGGCCTCCTCCATGCAGATATACTTCTCCCACTGAACTGTCTCTCTGGTCCTGAGTAGATTTCCTCCCGCATGGTAGATTCTTTATTTTATACTTGTTTGCTTGTTTTGTTTTTGGACCTCACCTGGGTGCTTAGGACTCTACACTGGATGGAACCTGGGTCAGCCATGTGAAAGACGAGTGCTCTACCTGCTGTACTTTTAAAAAAGATAATTCTTAAAGATTGCTTGATTCCTTGTCAAGATAATGACTCGATGTTTAGTGTGTAATATGTAGCGCTACTGTGAAAATGGAAAGTGTTTTGAGAATTCAGAAAGCCAATGATTGGTTAGTAAAGTTTAGTTTGTGAAATCTGAATTAGTTCATTTACATTATTTATAATAGACATTGACAGTTTTATCAGGTATGAGAAAAAAATTCCAGGTGAAATAATGCTCAATGTTGAAAAATATTTCTGGTGAAATATTCTCAATGATTGATTGTTAGTGACAGTTGTACTGGCGTTTTAAAGTTACTTAAAAACAAAACTTTTTTTTTTTAAACAGGAGAACGCCCATATAAATGTGAACTGTGTCATTATTCAAGTTCTCAGAAGACTCATCTAACTAGACATATGCGTACTCATTCAGGTTAGTAAAAAATGGGAACTTTGCTCTACAAGGAAGTTCTAGACCGGAAGTTCTAGACCTGAGACCAGTTATTATTATGATTACACCTTTAATATGATTTAGGAATTACACTCCAAAGTCAGCATTCTCCGTTACTGAGGAGCTATATTTAAATGGACATTTTATTTTTTATAAATATCTTTTTTTTTTTTTTTTTTGGCTTTTTTGGTCACACCTGGCAGTGCTCCGGGGCTACACTCAGGAATTACTTCTGGCAGTGCTCAGTGTGTTGGGGATTAAACCTGGGTTGGCTGCATGCAAGGCAATGTCCCACCTGCCGTACTACCTCTCCGGCCCCTTAATGGACATTTTATATTGTGTTATTTCATACTTAATTTCATTTGTGTATGTGTTAGAGCTCGGGACCTCAAGGGCCTGAGGCATGTGAGAGTTACATTCTACCACTGTAGCATTGAGTTACATTTCAGGCTCCTAAATAAAAATTCTTTGTTTTGTTTTTGCTTTTGCACTGCAACCTGCAATACTCCTGGCTCAGTGCTCTGGGACCACTCCTGGTGGCTCAGGGGACCATGTGGGGGTGCTAGGGGTCGAACTCAGACCGCATGCAGGTGCCCTATCTTCTGTACAGTGTGGACTCCTTTTGGGGGGTTTGGCGGGTATAAGTGGCAGTGCTTAGGGCTTTCTCTTGGTTCTGTGCTAAATCATTCTTGGTGGGGTTTGTGAGAGGTTATAGGGTGCCCTAAAGCCAGAGGTCAACTGTATAGACAAGGCAAGTGCCTTACCTGCTGTTGTATCTCTGGCCCTCTGAATGGATATTCTTAATGAGTCTGTTATTGGACTTTTGTTTGTTTTTTCTTTTTGTGCCTTACTGGTGATGCTCAGGGGGGTTACTCCTCTTGACTGTCAGGAATTAACTCCCGGCGTTAATTGAGTGTATAGGATGCCAGAGATTGAACCACTGGGTTGGCTGAGTGCAAGGCTTGCTGTACTCACTCTCCAGCCCTTTAGAGAAACTTTTGGAATGGAATATAAGTTTGTATTCACAGTACTTCTAGGAGGGAGAAAGCTGTTCTTTGGTTGGAGTGACCAAGGGACTGTATCTGGTTTACTCCTGGTTCTGTGCTCAGGGGTCACTCCATTTGGTGCTCAGAGGACCACTTGTGGTCTCGGGGATCAAGCTGGGGTCGACTGCATTCAAGGAAGGCACCACAGGAGGGCAAAGTGTGACTGGGAATGGCCCCCAGGCTTCAATTTATTTATTTACTTTTCTTTTTGGGTCACACCTGGCAATGCGCAGGGGTTACTCCTGGCTCCTGACTCAGGAATTACTCCTGGCAGTGCTTGAGGGGCCATATGGGATGGGAATCGAACCTGGGTCAACTGTATGCAAGGCAACCACCCTACCTGCTGTGCTGTCGCTTCAGCCCTTAGCTTGCATTTCATATTGAATGTTATATAATGTCAGTGATAAGGAAATTTTGTTTTTTAATTTGGGGCCACACCTAGAAGTGCTCAGGGACATACTTGGCTCTGTGCTTTGAATGGTCCGGTGGTGCTCAGGGACCCATGTTTGGTGCCGGGGATTTGTATTAGGTCTTGCCACATGCAAAGGCAAGTGCTTTAACGACTGTACTGTCTGGCCTTGATTAAGAATTTTTGCGGGGCGGGGGTTGGTGCCACTCCCAGCTGTGGTTGGTCTTATCCCTGACTCTGGGCTCTGGATTCATATTTGGTAGTACTCAGAATTATATGTGATGCAGGCGATTGAATTCTGGTCAGTCACTTGCAAGGCAGTACCTTGCCTTACTCTTGTGCTCTCTGTAGCCCTGGTTAAGAATTTTGATACATTTTCTGATTTTAGCAGTTATTAAAGAGTCTCTGACTTTTATATATATATATATATATATATATATATATATATATTTTCTCTTTTGGGTCACACCCAGCAGTGCTTAGGAGTTACTCCTGGCTCTGCACTCAGGAATTACTCCTGGTAGTGCTTAGAGGACCATACGGAATGCGGTCGGCTGTATGCAAGGCAAACGGCCCTACCCGCTGGACTATGGCTCCCACCCAATAATTTTTAAGTATAAGGCTATACTCAGCTTCATGCTGAGCATACTTATCATGTTAATAAACTTTAGTGTACCTTCTACATTTCCTGAGCAATTGAGGTGGGTGACTTAATCAGAAACTGGATTTTATTACTTGAGGCATTTTTTGGTTGCAAGTTCTGAGGGTGACTTGAATACTCTCTCAAGTTTCTTAGGGGTATTCATCATGTCTTTTAGCTAGAGCTTTAGCCCTTTGGTTAAATATTTAAAGACTTAACAGGATTTAACTGATTTTTCTTCTTCATAACTATCCAGAGGTGTAGTTTGTTTTATCACATTGCAAATGTGGGGAGGAAATAACAATTGAAGAAACGCGGCTGTTTTTCCTGTAGAATGTTTTCTCTTTTGGTTTGATCTTACTTGCTTATGTTATTTAAGTTTTCTCAGTTCTACCTTGTATCTCTTGGAGATTTATATGCTTGAGTTCTCTTCCATAGTCTCATTTGAAGTCACATATAGCTGGTTCATGAGTGTTCTGGGTCACATTAGAGATAGGAATGATGCCATTTCTTTTTGGGTTAATTGAATCAACAATACTTTTTGTCATTTTTCATGATGTTTTCTGTCACTTAGTAATCTTTGCTAAATAATTTTTATTTTTTGTTTTTTGGGCCACAGCAGGCTTTGCTTAGGGATCACTCTTGGGACCAGCACACCATGAGCCTGGGTCTGTCATTTGCAAGGCAGATGGCTTACTGGCTTTGCTATCTCTCTGGCTTATATTTGTTTTATAAAATTTTTATCTTTTATATATATGTGTGTATGTGTATATATTTACATATGTCTGTATGTATATACGGATATATACATACACATAGATAGGACATTTCATTAAAATTTTTCTACATTATATAAATATGGGCTGGAGTGATAGCACAGCGGGTAGGGCGTTTGCCTTGCACGCAGCTGACACAGTCAACCCGGGTTCGATTCCTCCACCCCTCTCGGAGAGCTTGGCAAGCTACCCAGAGTATCTCGTCCACACGGCAAAGCTTGGCAAGCTCCCCGTGACGTATTCATTATATCAAACACAGTAACAACAACTCTCACAATTTGTTGTGAGACGTTACTGGTGCCTGCTCGAGCAAATCGATGAATAACGGGGGGACAGTGCTATATCAATATGGTTGTCTAAATACATACATAATAAAGCCACATCTGATGTGCTTACGGCCTATAGCCAGCTCTGGAGTTGCTACCACTCAACGCTTGGGGACCATCAGTACTGGGTATTGAACCTCGACCTTCTGAGTACAAAGCTTGTGATTTGCTCATTGACCTATCTTTCTGGCCCATTTTGGAGTTCAGCAAATACTAGAAGCCTTTCACAAGGATAGCCTATTGAACTATCTCCCTGAGTATTTGTTTTTCATTTTTACATTTTACTTATTTTTTTTGCTTCTTGGGTCACACCCAGTGATGCTCAGGGGTTACTCCTGACTCTAGTGCTTAGGGGACCATATGGGATGCTGGGAATGGAACCCGGGTTGGCTGCATGCAAGGCAAGCACCCTACCCGCTGTGCTATCACTCCAGCCTCCTCCCTGAGTATTTAAAGTCTTGTTAATGAAGGACTAGGAGTGTCATTCTTTGGTGGCCCACTTTTAGCATATGCTACTCCTCCCCTTCAGTTCCTGATACTAGGGGGAGTAGAATCTGTCTTAATGAGTAGTAACTATTCAGTTTATCTGTATGTTAAATACCGCAAAAAATTGAGGTTTTTTATTTCTAAATGTAGTACTCCTAAGATACTTAAGTTTGAATCTGTTGATCAAGAGACAAATAGGTTTAGGAGAGGATAAAATGTTTTTGGTTAATTTTATTGTACTTCATGACTTTATTTTTATTGATATACTGTGATTTGCAATATCAGTGGTGGTTTCCCTGTATATGTAATTTCGAGGTCACACCACCATTGTGCGTATCTTCCTCCCCAAATATTCCCAGTTCCTCTCCCATTTTCCCATTGGCTGTCCCCCAAACTCATTTATGTGTCTCAGTTCTCTCAAGTTTTCTTTGCCCCTTTGTTGCTACCTTGCTGTGTATCCCTCAAGCCTTACCTGTGAGAGATCATTCTGTATCTATCTCGTTACTTCTGAGTTTTCTCAGTATGATATCCTCCAGTTCTATCCATATGACAAATTACGTTTCGTTCTTTTTAAGATTTTAAAATTATAAAATTAATCAGCTTGATTTTTTTAAAATAATAAAATTTTAAATGGGCTGGAGCAATAATTAATAAAATTTTAAATAATAAAATTATTTGGAAACAGGCTGGGGTGGGGGCTAGAGTGATAGTACAGTGGATAGGGTGTTTGCCTTGCACACAGCCAACCCGGGTTTGATCCCTGACATGCACCGCCAGGACTGATTCCTGAATGCAGAGCCTTGAGCAATGCTGGGTGTGGCCCCCAAAGCAAAAAAAAAAAAAAGAAAAAACCTCAAAAACAAAAACAACTGGCTGTGGGATGTGACCTTGTGAGACCTGACATTGAAAAAAAAAGCAACAAAAGTACCTCCAAAACCCGCCCGCCTACAAACATTACAACTTTGAAAATGGCTCAAGAATCTACCTCTTTATGAAATAAAATCGTGTAAATAAAGAACCAAGCTATTGTCTTTCATTGACTGCCAATAGTTTGTAAGTTGCAAACAGGAAACAGGCATGGCTACTCCCCCCACCCCCATATTCCCCTTTTGTTGTTGGCTGGGGTCATAAGCTTAGTTATGGTATTCACTCTCTTGGGTTGATGTGCTTGCTTGCTGGTGGGTTGGGGGATTGATGAAAAAGAAAATTGGGTATTAGTGAACCTACAGACATTTTCCCCCCTCGTGTTGGTGTTCCTACATAATGATTTTAAGAGGATCTTTTCTGTAATGCTTGGAACACTGACATCCTTCCTCTTTCCTGTTCTTTCTTGGTGGAGGTGTTGCAAAGATTTACATAGTTGTAGAACCCTTACTTTATCTTCAGGTATTTGTACGCTAGAACAGCTTGACTATTGTCTTTTATTTGTGGCCACACGTGGAGATGCTCAGGGATACTCATGGCTCTGCTCAGAGATCACTCCTGGTGTAACTCGTGACCACATGGGATGTTGGGGATTGAACCTAGGTCAGCCACACACAAGGCAAGTGCCCTACTCACTGCTCTTTGGCCTGCACTGGCCCATTGAGCCATCTTATCTCCCTGACAAACACTTTTAACTATTACGAAATCAGTTTTCTCCATGCTGTGTTTGTGTTAAATAAATGTTTACCTCTATTGAAGTTATTCATTGGAGAGGACAAGATAGCGCCAAGTACAGAGGGACAAAGAATATGTTCTAGTAACCTTTCTTACAGATCCTATTGATAATATGGAAAGCAAGTCCAGTTATTCTACAAGTCTTGACTTACATACCTGGATATGTTTTTGCTTTTGAGTAATTTTATCATCAGACATTTTCTAATCATGTAAAGCTTATGAACTACATGGTTTTTATAATGTCTGAATGGCTTTGCTTTATGAAAAAAGTAAAATTTGATATGAATTTGAGAATGTTTGACATGAATTTTCATAAATGTCAATTTCCATTTTCCTACTATGCATTCCATTGGACCAGTGTGGTATGGATACCATTTGGTAATATTTACTAAAGTGTGATCTAGATGGGTATGTATTCAGATAGAATGTGTTACTCTTATGCCTTTAATTTGGGGGTGGGGGTCATTTTGGTTATATATGTACCTGTGATTATGACTTTGTATGCTTATTTATACGTAATATACAAATATTACGTACCATGTCTATTTGTATGCTCCATGTCATTTGCCTGGTTCCTTTCCCTGTTTTGAAGTAAGATTAGGAAAGATCAGCTTTTTTCCTAAGAAGTAGTTACTCTGGCATTGTTTAAGTTTTGCTGAATAAAGCTTGACTCAACTCTTGCTGTACTGTGCAAAGGGGTTAAGTAAATATCAAAGCCCTTTCACTCCATGAGGCTCATAGCAGTGCTTAAAAACTTTTTACAAAAGTCTGCGAGTATAGAGTATGAAATATTTCTTTGAAAATCTAGGTTTATCCTTGAAAAGATTAGTGATTATACTCATACCTTTTTTAAACAAAGGATAAGAGATGTGAAATTTGTATTCTTGCCCCAAAGTTTATAGAGAGCTTAACACAGTTACTGTTGTATACTTATTAATGAGCCACTGTTCTTTAGCTCTTGAGAGAGCCTTAGTCTATGAACTTTTACCAGGTGATGATTTACCAGGATGATTCTTCGTTTGCTTTGAGAGTCAACATCATGGGGTATACAAATAAATATGGATCACTGTAAGGTGCATGGTACAGTCTTTTCAGTGAAGTGTTTTTCTTTTTTTTTCCTTGTAAATTACGTTTTCATAAACTCTTCACTTCCTAATGTGTGTCTCAATATCTCGTTAACCTTCAGGTGAGAAGCCATTTAAATGTGATCAGTGCAGTTATGTGGCCTCTAATCAGCATGAAGTAACCCGCCATGCGAGACAGGTTCACAATGGCCCTAAACCTCTTAACTGCCCGCACTGTGACTACAAAACAGCAGATAGAAGTAACTTCAAAAAACACGTAGAGCTGCATGTGAATCCACGGCAGTTCAACTGCCCTGTCTGCGACTATGCAGCTTCCAAGAAGTGTAATCTGCAGTATCACTTCAAGTCCAAGCATCCTACCTGTCCCAACAAAACAATGGATGTCTCAAAAGTCAAACTCAAGAAAACCAAAAAGCGGGAGGCCGACTTGCCCAGTAACAACAACGCCCCCAGTGAGAAGCCAGAAACGGAGCAGGCAAAAATAAAAGGGGATGTGGCTGGGAAGAAAAATGAGAAGTCTTTAAAAGCGGAGAAGAGGGATGTCTCAAAAGAGAAAAAACCTGGTCACGCCCCGACCCAAGTGACCACGAGAACGCGCAAGTCGGCCCTGGAAGCGAAAGAGCCGGAGCCGCCTCCCAGGAGTCACCCAGAGAAAAGCTGCAAAACCAAGAAAAGCAAAAGGAAGCTGGAAGCCGAAGCCCAGCCCTGCCCCGAGCCAGCGCCCGAGCAGGAACCGGCCGTGAAGAAGAAGAAGAAGGCCGAAAGCAAACCCAAAAACAGCCAGGAAGCGCCAAAGGCTGCCGGCAAGGTGGAGGAGACGAAAAAGCCGAAAAGGAGCGCGAAGAAGAAGCCGCTGAAGGGCAAATCCGGTAGGAAGGGCAGCAAGCCCGCTCCCAAGGGGCCCGCTCAGAAGGAGGCGGCGGAGTGGGAGCCGGAGCCGGAGCCGGAGCCGGTCCCGGCCCCGGCCCCGAGGGAGCCGGAGCCGTCTGCGCCGGAGCCGCCCGCGCTGCCCGCGGCACCCTTGGCACCGGCGCCCGCACAGCCGCCCGCGGAGGCGCCCATGGACGGAGGGCAGGATGCGCCTGCCCAGATGGAGCCGCCGCCGCCACCACCGTCCACCGAGCCCGTTCCCAGAAAGTCGCCTCGCAAGGAGAGTAGGAAGGAGAAGCCGAGCGAGCCGAGTCAGATGCCCCGGAAGGAGCAGGTCCTGGGGGAGGTGGGCTTGGTACCGGTGAAGGAGAGCGCTGCGGCCCCCCCAGCGCCCGACGGGCCCCGCCGGGAAGCCGAGGTCCAGGTCGCGCGAGAGCAGGAAGCCGAGGCTGAGGCCCAGATCGCGCGAGAGCAGGAAGCCAGGCCGGAGGGCGCGCAGGGTCAGGGCACGCCGGGCGAGGTGCAGCCTGCCGCCCCCGCTGAGCCCCAGCCCCAGCCCGCTGCACCGCCCTCGGCGGTGCCCCACGCCCCGGTGCCCGCTGACGACCCGGAAGTGGATGCCGACATGGAAGTGGACGCCGTCGAGAGTCAGGCCCAGAATGACCCGGCCAGTACGGCCCCCGCCCCGGAACCCGGCTCGCCGCCGACCCCGCCCCTGGAGAACGGGGATGGCGCGGCCAAGCGGGCGGCCGCACCCCCGCCCGCCGCCGCCACCACGGGCGCCACCGACGCCCAGGAAATGGACGAGGACGAGGGCATCCACAGCCACGACGGCAGCGACCTCAGCGACAACATGTCCGAGGGCAGCGACGACTCGGGCTTGAACGGGGCGCGGCCCGTGCCGCCCGACGCGAGTGAGAAAAGCGCCCCCGACGACGACGCTGACGCCGCTGCCGCCGGGCCGGGCAAGGGGGGCGCCGCGGGAGCGTTTGTGTGCATCTTCTGCGACCGGTCCTTCCGGAAGGAGAAGGATTACAGCAAACACCTCAATCGCCACCTGGTCAATGTGTACTTCCTAGAGAAAGCAGCTAAAGGGCAGGAGTGATTACACTGTGGACCAGGCTTCCGCTCTTCCTCTGTAAGACCTCTTACATTTTGTATTCATTTACTGTAGTAGACGACAACCTTTGGATTTTCTCTCTCTTTTTTTTTTTAAATATCGCTCTCATTAGTGTTCAATGTTTTAATTAATTCCCACCCCCCACCCCCTTTAGGTAGCGCTCTCCCCCCCGCCCCGCCTTTCTGGCTCTTATGACTGTCGATACACACATTGTAGCAAATCAAAGGGAGTGTCTTCAGCCAGCAGACACCTAAGTCGGTTAGCTCAGTGAATGAGAAGGTTGAGATGGTGTTGCAGCATGCTACTGCTGGTCCCGCGGTCATCGGTTAGTTTCTTATGTCTCTCTTTCTTGTCCCATTTTAGTTTATTCTTAGTTCATTGTTTAGCTCTAAGAAAATTGGCCTACTTAAAATAGCAAATTACTTGAAAATTTTGCCTGCTTTATATAAAGTTAGCACTTTAAAATTTTTTTTAGAGATAAGAAGAGACATTTAAATTGAAGAAAAATTCTCCCAACAGTGGACATTGTATCAGTCCAGGTATTTACTTCCTGAGTTTGATCAATATTTCTTGTATGTGTATTTTAATCGTCATGAAAACTATGATTTTGGTGTGTGGTTTTTTTTAATTTTTTTTTTTTTTGGTGCTTTAATGGCTTAAGATGTTGCACATTGTTTTTTTTTAACCTATGCAGTTAAATTTTTTTTCTAGAGATAGCATTTCTGTTGAATAGTAACACTTTATACATATATATGCATGTTTATTTTGGCCTCTTTGGAGAGGGGGTGCTTTTAGTCTTGTTTGCAAAAGGGCAGTTTTCTTTTTCTTTTGCTGCAATTGTCTTTTTTGCAGAATATTGGTGTGTGCAAGTTTGTGAGCAAATGAAACATGCAGCTTCAATCCTTTGATTTTCATATCCTCTATTGATGCTAGACTCTTCATTTCATGTTATTTATTTTAAATGAATGATAGTACAGTCATAGCTCTAAGTCTGAACTTTGCAATAAACAAACCACGGCGGCTATCTATTGTTATTTTTTTTTTAAATCTCAAATATCAACCATCAGAACTTTTTTTTAACCTGTTTTGGTACAGGTACTTCCTAAATGTATAGTGCTAAGTCATATTTTTAGGCAAACTTTTTAAGACTTTTTAAAAATAGATGGTTGGTGTTCACACGATGTGTACTCAGCTGATTATGAAATTCTAAGTGCTATTTTGAAACTGCAGACCTGGATTTAGAAGACATAATTTTCTCAAAATTCCTCAGAACATTAGTTGAGAGATTTCTAAAGCCATAGCTTTCACGTAGAAAACCTAGGATGAGGAAGGTAGTTTGAGCACTGGTACACCAGTCGCTGCTTTCCCTGATACAAATCCAGAGAAAAAGAGTAGTGAACTGACTTTACATTCAGTCCAGGCTTACAGATCACACTTTCTCAGGGATCTCCACAGCCTTGTGGGTGTCCTGGCTGTCTGCGGGACAGTCTCTTTTGATATGTGAGGCCTCGAGGAAATGCAGCTATCAGTTGAGAACCTGGCAGAGGGCATTTTGTATAATAGTGTCCACTCCCACAGTTTTTGGTATGTTTGGCCAGTTGCCAAAAAAACATGAGCCCAGCAGAGGATTTTTTTTGGGATAATACTTAAGCGTTGCAGTCAAGTAAGGTTTGATCCCAGTAGGGGATCGTGAATAATTCTGTCTCATGAGTATTTTGAAGAAACCACTTTTTGTACTTTATTTTCTTTGATTTGGTGATCTGTTTGAGGCAGGTTTCCTTTTTGGGCAGCGTGACGGGAGATTAGGGAAGTGTGGGTAGGTAACTGGTTAAACATCAGAGTGAAGTTTGTGTTAAAAGACATACGAACTTAGAATTGACTGGGAGGCCAAAGATGTAAAGAAGATTCTAGATGTGAGGAGTAAGTTGTGTGTTGATGGTGTGTGTTTTGTTTGCATGAATGAGAATTTGTAGATGATGTTTAATTTTAGGTAAATTCTTGGCTCGGACAATCATTGTCAACAGAAGATCACGCTGCAAATATTTATGTTTTAAAACTTAAGTTATAAAGCTAGTTAAGTCTTTCTAACAACTAGTTTTAATGTTCATGGTACAGTTTATGTAAGTTACCTTTTACATTAAATATAAAAAGATTCATGTTAATACAGATTGGATATTGGGACTCAGTTTAGGGAAAAAAAAGAAAAACAGTTTCATACTACAAAAAAATAACTTGTAGGAAATTGGGCAGATTGCATATCTAATTTTTAAGACTAGAATGCTAAAAAAATATGAAGGAAATTGAGAATCCCTTGTTACGAAATTGATATGTGAAAAAAGATTGTTACTGGAAATTGAGTGAGACTTGAGGCCTTTCTTCCAGAAAATAAGGACTTGTCAGGCCTATATTAGGTTCTGAACCTTAATGCCATGTATTTGTACTTATTGAAAATTGCTTCAATGAAAAGCATATTAGTAATATGAACTTCTGGTCTAGTTGGGAGTTCTTCCATTTGAAAAATGTGATATTTGCATGGAACCTTTTGAATATTTGTGTTTTCTTGCTGTCCCCTCTACTGGATAGAATTAAAATTAGCATTTTCCCTTTTGATATAAGAATAAAGAGCAAACATTTTATTTGTAAATTGATGTTTAGTAAATAGAGATAAACTTGAAATAGTAGAATACATTATAAGCCTAATCTTAGGTAGTCTTATTGAAATGTTACTCTTAACTATCTTTTGAACCTATATTCACATTGGTTTTCAAGATATTTTAAGTTATATTTTTCCTCTTTTCAGAGCTGCTTTTGGGGGGGCTTTAAAAATTGAGGTGTAATGTACAAGTGGCTACATCTTTTTGATAGGGCTTCTTTATAACTGGCTGGATGTTTTGCTCTAGTCTTCCAAGAAAGGACCATTTTATTTTTTAGAAAAGTCACGTGGTCTTTACCTTTGGGGACTACTTTGCATCTGTGTGCTAATACAAATTTGAACCCAAGTAGACCTCATCAGATGTTACCCCATGAATGTTGACAATGGAAGGAACGAATGCCTTGCCTGTAGTATATCAGTTCTGGGCTGAAAAGCTGGGGAAGAAAATTTTCTTTTTTGTATAAATTAGGAAAACAGTGTGAAGTTCCCTTGTTGACCTCAGCAGATGAACTGAGCTGATAGTATTAATTCAGATTCAAGGAATTATCTGAATCTTGGTTTGTGTAGACTTGTGATCTACATGCAATATTAACTAAATGAGATAGCTTTTACAGTACCATAATGTACATAGGCTCTCCCCACCCTTTCATCATCCATTAGCTAATGAACTTTGTAAACTGGCATTGAAACATTACAGCAATGTTTTGTTGCACCAATTTTATAAACTTTTACAGTGCAATACATGTTACTTTTCAGAGACAAACCAAAGGTTAATTTCTCAAGGTTATTGCTGCTGGCTTTAGCAGCATATGATGGAGGATCTTTTATATACATTTGTAATAGATGAAAAATCAGATTGGAAATTGTTGTTTTAAAAAGCTTAAACCATGTACCAAGGTTTTGGTCCAAATTGTGTAGGATAAGTTAAACTTAAATTGCATTCTATTAACCAGTATGAGTGTATTTCTGTAAGCATAGTTATGTTGAAATAAAGATTTAAAAAGCCTTTTATGCCTTTGTTTATTATTGGTACACCAATTAATTTTACTGCAATTGCAAATATCTCCCCCTCCCCCCATCTTTTTTTTTTGGGGGGGGTGGGGGAGCCATATCTGGTGGTGCTCAGCGCTTACTCCTGACTCTGAGCTCTAGGATCATTCCTGGCAGGCTTGGGGGACTGTATGGAGTACCTTGTGTTCAAGGCAAGTGCTCTGCTCCCTGTACTATGTTTTCACTGTTAGCAGGCCTGGTGTTAGGAAGTTTTATCACATTGTTGGGGTGAAAAAGATGTCCTAAAGTGGAAGTAAGTTGAATCACATCAGGTATCCTATCAAGTACTGTCATTGACATGGGCGAATGCTTATTTCTGATGCCTTTGCAAGCAGAAGCCAACTCAAGTAATAGGTCTTGGCCCTGCTCTCCTAAAGGGAGGGAACTTCTAGAGCTCCTGAACTGTTTCTGTACAAAGGAAATGTGGTTTTCATGGAGCCTGGAACATTATCTTTTGTAGATGCCCAACTTTTTCCAGATTGCTTTTACCAGATTTGTCAATTAAGTGGAACTGATTGTGGCTTTGCCCGCAGATGGCTCATCAGACCGAGAAAATGCTTTGTATGTTGGAGGTCCGGGTTCAACCAAATGTGGCCCCTGTAATCACTTGAATCGGGAGACGGACAGGCCAGCCCCTGGATTCTAATCCCAGCATGGCGAAAACCACAAAGGACTAGAGAATCAGAGAAATAGCATAGAGGCTAGCTAAGCATCCAACCACCACTGGTTCAATTCCTGTACTACAACTGATCTCCCAAGCATGGGTAGTAGGAGTGACCTAAGACGTGGCTGTGTGTGGCCTAAAATGCCCCCACTAGGACTGGAGCAGGAGTAACTGGATAGGGTAGCTTTTTTTGCATATTGCTGACCCACACTCTGAGCCTGCCAGGAGTGACCCCTGAGGGTAGAGCCAGGAGTAAGTCCTGAGCACTGTTGGGCTTACTCCTGACTCAAAAAGGGAACCAGTTCTGGTGGTTCTGTTTAAATGAGGGGAGAGCCAAACATGGACTTCTCTAGAGGTGTACATATCAGTAACTTTGTTTATATGTGTAGGTGTCACTGCCACCACAGTTGGGGAAAAACACCCCTATATGTGAGACTATAAAAAAACAATACAGGGACCAGAGTGAAATTACAGTGGGTAGTATGTTTGCCTTGCATGCGGCAAACCTGGGTTCAATCTCTGGCATCCATATGTTTCCCTGAGCATAGCCAGGAGTAACCCTAGAGAATTCTCAGGTGTGGGCCCCCTTTACTGTCTCTCTCCCCACCCCCAGCATATAGTAAGGGAATTACAAGTCATCAGAACTGAAGATTTTATAGAACTCAGCTTACTTGGAGGGGCTGACTGGGAGAGTTCCTTGGGGTATACTGGTGGAGGGAAGTGGGCCCAGGTGGGGTTGAGGTACCTAT